CTCCTCTCAGGTAACTCTTTATTACAGTATTTTTATATTTTCCAGAAAAAATCTCCGTTAATTTTCAGCGCATTCCAAGAACTTCTATTTCTGCACAAAAACAATGCCACGGTAGTTCTGCTGAAAACAGCGTCAGTCCGGGTTAGTTCTAACCAATCATACCAAAAGCATGTAAAAATTTTATAAACATGGCATGAATACATCAAAAATTATAGATACGTTGGAGACGTATCAACGACTTCTCACAACCCTCTCTCTCAGGGTCCTGTCTGCCGATCATTATTTCCAATATATTACACTGCGTTTCTATTCCTACGTATGCTGCCGAGCTAGGAGTTGATCCTCAGGCTGATTTTGCAAATCGACCTGAGTCTAAGGGGCTACTAGGATCAGCAGTTTTTTGTTTTCCTTCAGGTGCATCTCGGGGTTTAGACCGACACATACCTTGAGGGCTACTGGATATACATATACTGGCTATATGTCTCAGCAGAGAATAAATTGCACCAATCAAAAATATTCACAAAAAATTAGCCTGCGGTCGGGGTGGTGCACCACCTCGGAAGCAGTCCAGCATAAAGCTCGGGCGCCAGTGGCTGGCTCCATAGAGGGCATTTCCAGAATTAAGCTCAATTGAATTCATTCAATCTTTTAAAAGACCGAGGTAGTTTACGACACCTCGGACGCCGACCATTGTTGGAGCTCGGGAGTGGTCCGACATAAAGCTCGGATTCGAATGACTCATTCCATAGAGAACTTTTCAGCGTTAATCTCGGATAACCTCCTTCAAACTTTTTCAATTCAAGGTGATCTATGACACCTCGGATATAGTCCGGCGTTAGAGCTCAGATATAGTTCGGCATTGGTGCTCGGCTGCAAAAGATATCTCGAATGTAGTCCGGTGTTGGAGCTCAGATGCAAGAGGACACCGCCGCACGGGAACAACTTCAAACCCGAGGTGTGGCATAAAAAACAACAAGGCATTGATAAAGGCCGAGAACTTAAAGGGGCTCCTTGGATACCCAGTGTGTAAACTCTTCGGATTCACTTCGGCAATCCTCAAGATCGAAGATGAGATGATTTGTTGAACCAGTTTTCAAAACCGACGACCGAAGATGAAGAACAGTTGGGAAGAATCGAGGAGCGTCCCCAACTTGAAGACCGGTTCAGGGGGCTACTGACAGTGTCCTAGACTAGGGGGTACTCACCACGTCGTCTTCCAATCAGTTAGATTGGGCCGAGGACCCCCATGGTCGTATACTCATGGGCCAGTTTGGACAACTGATGCATACACGAGGAAGATTCCACAAGACTTGGTGATCAAGACAAGGACTCCTCCCCACCGGCGTATTCGGCTACGACTCTTGTTATCCTAGGCCTCTGTTACATTATATAAACCGAGGCTAGGCTAGTCGATAGATAGGCTAGATCATTGTGACATTACTCATCATACCTCTAGGGCTTAGACCACAACATAGGATCTCGAGGTAGATCAAGATCAATCAAGCATGAAGTAGGGTATTACCTCGATAGAGAGGGGCCGAACCTGGGTAAACATCATGTCCCCTGTCTCCTGTTACCCATCGATCCATGTCACACAGCTTGGGACCCCCTACCCGAGATCTGCCGATTTTAACACCGACAAGGGGCGCGCCCTCCCCTTGCCCAAAACGAATTGGACTATGGGAAGGGGTCGGCCCCCCTCTTTCCTTCTTCCTCTCTCTCCCTTCCCTTTCCCTCCGGTGGAAGAATGGAAAGGGGGGGGGGCGAATCCTACTTGGACTAGGAGTCCAAGAAGGACTCTTCCCCTGGCGCGCCCAACCTCGCCGGCCTCCTCTCTCCCTCCCTCCTTTATATACGTGGCCAGGGGCACCCAATAGGACAACAGACAATCTCTTAGCCATGTGCGATGCCCCCTCCACAGTTACACACCTCGGTCATATCGTCGTAGTGCTTAGGCGAAGCCCTGCACCGGTAACTTCATCATCACTGTCACCACGCTGTCGTGCTGACGGAACTCTCCCTCGGCCTCAGCTAGATCTAGAGTTCGAGGAACGTCACCGAGCTGAACGTGTGTAGATCACGGAGGTGTCGTGCGTTCGGTACTTGATTGGTTGGACCGCTAAGACATTCAACTATATCAACCGCGTTACATAACGCTTTCGCTTTCGGTCTATGAGGGTACGTGGACACACTCTCCCCCTCGTTGCTATGCATCACCTAGATAGATCTTGCGTGATCGTAGGAATTTTTTTGAAATTACTGCATTCCCCAACTGGTGGCGCCCCCTTTCCTTAGTCCAATTTGGCCTCCTCCCTTGTGGGGGGTGCACCATCCCCTTGTGGGCTGGTTAGCTTCCCTCCCATGGCCCATATCTTCCACCAGGGGTTTCGGTAACCCTTCCGGCACTCCGGTTTTTACCTGATACACTCTGGAACCCTTCCAGTGTCTGAATACCACCTTCCAATATATCAATCTTTATTTCTCAACCATTTCGAGACTCCTCGTCATGTCCGTGAAATCATCCGGGACTCCGAACAAACTTCGGTCATCAAAAACACATAACTCATAATACAAATTGTCGTCGAACGTTAAGCATGTGGACCCTACGGGTTTGAGAACTATGTAGACATGATCGAGACACATCTCTGATCAATAACCAATAGCGGAACCTGGATGCTCATATTGGCTCCTACATATTCTACGAAGATCTTTATCGGTCAAACCGCACAACATACATTGTTCCCTTTGTCATCGGTGTGTTACTTGCCCGAGATTCGATCGTCGATATCTTGATACCTAGTTCAATCTCGTTACCGGCAAGTCTCTTTACTCGTTCCGTAATGCTTCATCCCGCAACTAACTCATTAGTCATATTGCTTGCAAGGCTTATAGTGATGAGCATTACCAAGAGGGCCCAGAGATACCTCTCCGATACACGGAGTGACAAATTCTAATCCCGATCTATGCCAACCCAACCTTTGGAGACACCTATAGAGCATCTTTATAATCACTCAGTTACATTGTGACGTTTGATATAAGCAACTAACTCATTAGTCATATTGCTTGCAAGGCTTATAGTGATGAGCATTACCAAGAGGGCCCAGAGATACCTCTCCGATACACGGAGTGACAAATTCTAATCCCGATCTATGCCAACCCAACCTTTGGAGACACCTATAGAGCATCTTTATAATCACTCAGTTACATTGTGACGTTTGATATAAGGAAATATAAATAACAACTTTATTATTGCCTCTAGGGCATATTTCCTTCACATGTTTGTATGCCTTTTCTATTTTTTCACTTTACCTTTAATATATATATATGGTGTGCAACATCCTCTCCTTTATTAATCTCATTTTAATTAGGAGTCAATTAGCGGGCATGACAGCCCGAAATTCCATTTAATGGAGGCATGCATGTCCCTCCTTTATTTTCGGCATTTCAATTTTTGTATCCTAGAATGCCGGTTAATCAAAGCCCACGATAATTATCAGGGAATCAATTAGTGCCATGACAGCCCACAATTCCATTTAATGGAGGCTCCTTTATTTTCGGCAAGTGAAATCCATTTTTTTCTAATTAGTGCCAACCTTCTTTTATTGGGACGCTCATATCCTCAATTGTCGGGTCTTTCTCTTTTTGTTGGCACGTGCATTCAAGGGCACAAACCGTAGAACATAGCAGGCCCAGTGGCCCATGCAAGGGATAAACAAAAAATTTAGAAACAATGTGCAACCCACGCATCAGGAAATATGTACTGCAGGCTGATTTTTAAAACAGTGAGGTACTTTTTTGCAAAATATCACGACCGACCAAAAATACCTATTTACTTTATTATTAAGGTAAAGATTTTCTACCCTCAGAGTTCTTCCACCATGTGTTAACTGCATCTCTTCACTCTCATGTGTGTCCCCTCTATGTAGAGGAGATACAGAGAAAAGAGGCTATGCAGAACAGAGCAGTAAACCCAACACACACACACACACACACACACACACACACACACATACTCTTGCTGAGTTTCTAGTGCTAAGTTGCTCCTCTAGTGACCCAATCCTAGCAACTGCGTGCACAATCTTCAGGAGAGCAAAACTCCAAAACCGCATCCCTTGAGAACCTACACGGGGTGAAGGGTGATAAGTTTTTTAGGAGCGTCTTGGCGTGAATGCTCGCTCAAGTTCAACTACTTCCTCTATGGTGAACGACCAACTTGTCTTCACCACCATGGTCGAAGATGTTGCACCAGAGTTTCGGTGCCCTCGTATGTTCTGACTCTCTCTCTCCTCATATATGTTGTTGGTCCATATATGCATATGTGCTAGATGTTCCTAGTTTGTCTTATGCGATTTGTCATGTTGGTAATCTTGTGATGATGGTAATCTGGTTTAAGCTTAAACAAAATCTGCCTAATCTCCTAACACAACATAATAAAAACCAAACAGCAGCTTCAAGCACGTAAGGTTCCTGAAAATCCAATGAGATCCAGGCCAAACACGTCAGAACAGTTATAATATAAATTACATGTACAATTTGTCCGGCAAGATATGCATAAAACGTAATTAATCTGAACACGTTACCATACAAACGAAGGATCGAACCCCTTATCCAAAACAGCAGTGTTATATACTTATATACTAACACTAGTGTTTTGGATAAGCGAAAGCTTGCACCTAATTTCGTGGTCCTTTCCGTCCTTTCTCCCTGCACTTATCTCATTAGAATCAGCACCATTGACTAAAGCAGGTTGTCCCTTGGGTTGGACAATCCATTGGTGTTCTTATATAATTCGCTTCCAATCCCAGCTTGGATCGTGTACGCGCTAATGAACTACCACTTGTAAAATAACATTACTTAGCCGTCACCGGAAGCTGGGCGCCCAATTTGCTTGCTTATACATCCGCCCAATTGCTTGGTCCTCTTCCCAGCACTTCTTTCAATCTCCGTCCAAGCCAACAAACGTACTCATAGAGAGGAGGATTAGCTAGAGGGATCCACGCATGGAGCCTGTGGTGAGCTCTACGCATGGCACCTTGGCTCCATTGGTGGCCAAGCTCACCGCCTTGCTCGCCGACGAGTGTGGCCGCCTGAAAGGGGTCCGCCGCGAGATCCGCTCCCTGAGATCTGAGCTGACTAGCATGCATGCTGCGCTCAAAGAGTACACCAAGCAAGAAGATCCAAGTGACCAAGTGAAGGCATGGATATCACTAGTGAGGGAGTTGGCATACGACATCGAGGATGTCTTTGACAAGTTCATCAAGCGCATCGGCAAAGACAACCATCATGGTGGCTTCAAGGATTTCTTCCGCAAGACCGCTCGTCGCCTGAAGACGCTTGGGTCTCGGCGTGGAATCGCCAACCAAATTGATGACCTCAAGGCTCGCATCAGGCAAGTGAAAGAGCTCAAGAATAGTTACAAGCTTGATGATGCTCCTTGCAGCACCTCTAGCCATGCGGCCGTGGATCCCCGGCTGCATGCACTTTTTGCTGAGGAGGCGCACCTTGTGGGTGTGGATGGTCCAAGAGATGACCTTGCCAATTGGTTAGTGAAAGAAGAAAATTCCTCCAACAAGCATCGCAGGGTGTTGTCTATTGTTGGGTTTGGTGGATTGGGAAAGACCACACTGGCAGATCAAGTCTATCGCAAGATACATGGACACTTTCATTGTCGGGCTTTCGTGTCAGTCTCACAACAGCCAGATATAAAGAAAATTGTGAAGGATGTGATCTCTCAAGTATCTTGCCAAGATAAATCCAAACAAGATATCAGTGAGTGGGACGAAAAGAAGTCTATTGCAAAACTAAGAGAACTGCTACAAGATAAGAGGTAATCTCAGCTCTGTCATCTTCCTGCAAAACATGTGTCATGAGTATATTTCCTGTAATATTTCTGCATATACTGTCACTAAAGCGGGGATGATGCATGTGCAAGTAACCGCATATGGAAACATAATCAATAAGCATGATATATACTGATACCTCAGTTAACAAGTTGAGCGTATTAAATCTCATATACACTTTTGGTGTTTCATGGCATGTCTACTGCATCTACTCTTAATTTTCTGACTGTTCAAATGTATATTGTGAAATAGTATTTCGACATAAAAACAAAAAAAAAATGCTCCAGCTATAGTCAAATGAAGTGGGCAAGATATATATGTTAACATAAGCATGAGAATGATACATGTAAACAGTAAGAATTATACACTTAATTTAATAGGTTAAGTACATATGCAATATTGGTGTTAATTTCTATTTACCTTTTCTAATTAAATTCCTTACACGATTGGTTAATGTATGACATTTACTACTATATATATGCTAGGTACCTTATCATCATTGATGATATATGGTCTAAGCCGGCATGGGATGCTATCAAATGTGCTTTTCCAGAGAATAGTCATTCTAGCAGAATTATAGTTACTACACGAATTGTTGATGTAGCAAGGCTGTGTTCCCCTGGGAGTGATGACCGCATGTATGAAATGGAAGTCCTAAGTGATATTCACTCTAGAAGGTTGTTTTTCAAAAGAATTTTTGGCTCTGAGGAAAGCTGCCCTCCTATGCTAAAAGAAATTTCAAATGAAATCCTGAAAAAATGTGGAGGCCTACCATTAGCAATTATCAGCATATCAAGTTTATTGTCAAGCAGAACTGCTGTAAAAGAGGAGTGGGAGAAGATCAAAAGGTCAATTGGTTTTGCACTAGAGAAAAACCAGAGCCTAGAGACAATGAGTACCATACTATCCCTTAGCTACAATCATCTTCCACCTAATCTCAAGACTTGTCTGTTATATTTGAGCATATTTCCCGAGGACTACATCATAGAGAGAGAAAGGTTAGTGAGGCTATGGATCGCAGAAGGCTTTATTTCTGAAGAGTGTGGACAGAGCCAACAAGAGGTCGCCGAGAGCTATTTTTATGAGCTTATCAATAAAAGCATGGTCCAACCGGTGGGCATTGGCTATGATGGTAAGGCACGTGCTTGTCGGGTTCATGACATGATGCTAGAAATTATTGTTGCAAAATCTGCTAAAGATAATTTTGTTACGGTGGTAGGCGGTGGTCAAACGAGTTTGGCAAATCATCAAGGTTTCATTCGGCGACTGTCAGTGCAGTACATTGACCAGGAGCTTGCATCTGCATTGGCGAGTGAAGATCTAAGGCATGTTCGATCTCTAACAGTGACAATAACTAGTGGCATCGAACGCTTGCCTAGTCTGGTTGAATTTGAAGCTTTACGAGTGGTGGACTTTGCAGATTGTGAGGGCTTGGGGCAGTATATTATGAATGGCATGGAGAAATTGATCCAGTTAAGGTACCTCAGACTTAGGGGCAGGGGCATATCAAAGCTACCATCAGGGATTGTGATGCTAGGCGACCTAGAGACCCTAGATATTCAGTACACAGCTGTGCAAGAGTTGCCAGATAAAATTGTTCAGCTGACTAAACTACAACACCTAATCACCGCCGGTGGCACAAAGATACCAGATGGAATTGGGAATATGATGAGCTTAAGGGTGGTCACAGGCTTTAATATTACCGGGAGTTCTACGCATGCTGTGGAGGGTCTTAGGAACTTGACAAGTTTGGATGAACTCAATGTAGATCTTGATAGTGGAAAATCTGATGAGTACAAGAGCCATGAAGAGATGTTACTTTCCTCACTGCGTAAACTTGGCAGGTGCAAGCTCCAGTATTTACAGATAACTAGGATCGATGGTTCCCTCGAGTTCTTAGAATCTTGGTTCCCTCTGCCATATTCCCTTCAGAAATTCCACATGTCCAGCAGCTACTGTTTTACGGATGTTCCAAAGTGGATTGCACCAGCACTCACCAGCCTTTCTTACCTGGATATCAATTTAACTGAATTAACAGAGGAGGGTCTGCACACTCTTGGGGAGCTCTCAGCCTTACTTTGCCTAAAACTATGCTGGGAAAAAGACCCAGAAGAAAGGCTTACAATTCAAGGCACTGGATTCCCATGTCTGAAGGAGTTTGTGCTATCTGATGGGGCATACGTTACATTCATGGAAGGCGCGATGCCCAAGCTTGAGAACCTTAGGCTGTCAGTCGCTGTGTCAGTGGCAAAAACTTGTGGCTTCTATTTAGGCATTGAGCATCTCACATGTCTCAAACAAGCAAGGATATGGCTTGATAACGAAGATGTGACAACTTCAGAAAGCAAGGCTGCAGCTGCTGCGGTCACTAAAGAAGCAGGTGCTCATCCGAACCGTCCTATAGTTACTATTGAGGGAAGATGGTATGAAGAGGCCGCAGCCAGCCATGAAGAAAAGAACAATGAGGATGGCGACAACTAGGGGAATTAAAATGGCTGTTGTGCTACATGATGGAGGTACTAATACAGATTCTAATCATTCATCCTTTTATCTTTTAAAAACACCCCCGTTGTCTCCATCCTTTGTTCCAAACCTGGATAATGCTAGCTTCTCAATCTCACATGATGTATCATTATTTTTGTTTTGCCGACCCAGGGTATGATGTGCGGCTGGCTGGCTTGCTTGCTTGGAATTATTGCCATACTGAAGGAGGAATGAAGCTACTATGCCTTGCACTACAAGATGGAAATCAGAAGCTGAAACAACGTCAACCTCCCGGTTGCTACTTGCTACATACATCACAGCTATGTGTATATATGTTTCCCATTCGTTACAGCTTAATGTTTAAGATTTAAGTTTGGTTGCATTTGGGATTAACTGTGGATTATTTGTATAATAAATGATTTGGTATGTAATGTAGTGGTTTTTCATGCTTGCTTGGTCCCTGTGTGGCTGAGCATGATGGACGCATGTTGTTGCTTATGTTTGTACAAAATTTATAAACAAAAAACAGGGCTAGATATCCCTAGCTTGCTCAAAAACAAATGTGTGCAGAACAATCCTACTGTGGTCGGATGTATTTGTGCTGAAGCAGTGTTAGCGACCCCGACACGCAGGACCCACTGGGCAGCCACTCCAACAGCAACAATGCTGCCCAGCGCCCCAGCAGGCTCAAGCGGCCCAACACGCGAGTCCACAGGCTAGAGTGGACTCACTGAAGCCCAGGCGATCGCTACTTGAAGGGAGACGCGATGCAGCCCCCGTCATCCAGAGGATCACGGCATCGGCACCCGGCGGCTACCTACCAAAATTCCCCTTCCTCCTGCACGAGTGAACCCTAGTTCGTCTCCACCATTCTTGTAATCGCCACTCCACCTTGTAATCGACAGAGCTATACTACTTGATCTATAGAGATAGTAGTAAGCTCCTATCATCTGGTATCAGAGACCAGCCACCACTCCTCCCTGCTTCGCTCTGGAGCATCTCATCGAGACGAGGGGTTTGCGGCAAGCACGAGAGGCCATGGATCCAAGCGTCTCTGCCTTCCTCATCCGCTTCGGGACCAAGATCGAAGCCGCCTTCGATGGCCTCACCAAGGCGCAACAACCACGGTGACGAAGATCGACGACTTGCTCTCCTTGCGCCCCGATCTCGAGCGCCGCGTGGCGGATCTGGGCGACGCCGTCACGGCTCTGCAGCAAGCACAAGCGCCTTCCGAAGGCTGATCCGACGCGCATCCGGTGCCCCCGGGTGCTGGAGCACAAATCAAACCCCAAGGGCCCGATGGCCACGGCGATTTTCAGATTCAACGGGGGCCACCGGCGCGTCCCTCCTAACGCCACCGCCGCTCCCGGCTAACGGTACGAGCACCGATCCTGTTACACCACCCCTGCCGTCTCCGTTCTCCCACGCCAACCATATGCTCTCTGGCCTTGGCCGGGCACACCCATCTATCACCTTCCCGCAGTTTTCCGGCGAAAATCCCAACATGTGGAAAACTCTTTGTGAGCAGTATTTCGCCATGTTTGGGATTACACCTTCCTTCTGGGTTCCTATGGCGGCACTGAATTTCTCCGGACTAGCAGCGATCTGGCTGCAGTCCATCCAGCGCCGCCTGGGCGAGTTCGATTGGAACTCATTCACGGCGTTGCTCTGTACGCGGTTCGGCCATGAACGGCACCAAACCCTGATACGCCAGTTTTACTCCATTCGCCAAACGAACACAGTAGCAGATTATATTGAAAGATTTGAAGCAGTTATTAATCGTTTGAATTCATATTCTGAGGCCATACATCCTTACTATTTCCTTACTCGTTTTGTCGAGGGACTGCGGCATGACATCAGGGCAGTTGTCATGGTGCAGCGACCGCCCGACCTGGACACGGCGTGTGCGCTTGCACAGCTGCAAGAGGAAGTGGCGGCAGGGGCTCGCGGGCACACACCGAAGGCGCCTGAACCAGGCCTGCGGCCAGCAATACCCTTACCGCTGCCCCCGCCTCCAGCGCGCCACACGCCACCTTCGGTCGCCATCGATCGGCGTGAAACAGACGCAGCGCGCGCCGATTCATCCAAAATCAAGGCACTGCGGGATTATCGTCGAGCCCGCGGCCTCTGTTTCAAGTGCGGCGAGCGATGGGGGCACGACCACGTGTGTCCCACATCGGTGCAACTGCACGTCGTCGAGGAACTGCTCGACATGATCGGCCTCAACAACTTCCTCGACTCCCAAGTGTAGCAAGGCGATGGCTCGGACGACACGGTCATGGCGATCTCCCTGTCTGCTGTCACAGGGGGGGTCTCCGCCAAAGCCTTTCAACTCCGCGCATGGATCCAAGGACGCGAGGTGCTCCTCCTGGTTAATTCCGGCAGTTCCAATTCATTCGTCGACGCACAGCTTGCCTCCTCTCTCACTGGAGTGCAACCCCTTCCCAAGACAGGGCGAGTCAGAGTCGCGGATGGGGGTGAGATGCTCTGCTCCAGTTTCATTGCACACTGCGGGTGGTATTCGCAAGGGCACGAATTCTTCATTGATCTGAAGGTGCTACCGTTGGGTACTTACGATGCAATACTGGGCATGGACTGGCTCGAGGAGCACAACCCCATGATCATTGATTGGCGTGCGCACTTCTTGGAGATTCCATCTCCAGCAGGCTCCCTCCGTCTGGTCGGGCACGATGCCGCGTCCACCTCTTGTGAGTCCATCAACGACATTCAATTGCAAGGGCTCTGCAGCAAAGGGGCAGTCTCGCACATTATTCACTTGTGCGTAGTGGCACAGGAAACCAGCAACCCCACCCCAACTCCGGAGTGCATACAGGAAGTGGTGGATGAATTCCCAGATGTCTTTGAGGAACCAACCGGCCTTCCACCGCGCCAGTCTTGTGACCACAGGATTCCGCTGATACCAGGAGCACAACCAGTGAATATCAGACAAGTCCGAGCATAAGACAGAGATAGAAGCTCAAGTGGAGGAGTTGCTCAGATCTGGTGTCATTCAGAGAAGCACGAGCCCTTTTGCATCGCCAGTCATATTGGTCAAGAAAAAAGATGGGACTTGGCGTCTGTGCATTGACTACCGTCACCTCAATGCCCTCACAGTCGTTGCCAAGTTCCCGGTTCTTGTTATTGAAGAACTTTTGGATGAACTCCACGGTGCCGCTTGGTTCTCCAAGCTAGATCTTCGAGCAGGCTACCATCAAATTCGTTTGGCTCCAGGGGAAGAGTACAAGACAGTTTTCCAAACACATCAAGGGCATTTTGAATTCAAGGTGGTTTCATTTGGCCTCGCTAGTGCTCCAACAACTTTCATCGGAGCAGTCACCACAACACTCAAACCTGTCAACCGTGTCTGCGTTGTATCCTTCTTCGACGACATTCTAGTTTTCAGTGTTTCTCTCGAAGATCATGTGATCCACTTGAGTCAGGTTTTGGGGCTTCTGCGCAAGGACAACTGGAAGGCTAAAATGAGCAAATCTGTTTTTGGACAGCAGCAAATTTTGTACCTCGGCCACGTCTTCAGTTCACAGGGGGTTTCAAGTGATCCAACCAAGATCACAGCAGTAGCAAACTCGACAACACCTACCAGCACCAAAGAGGTGTGTAGCTTCCTGGGTCTTGCCGGCTATTATCGGCGGTTTGTGAGGAATTTTGGAGTCATTGCCTGACCACTGTTCAACCTTCTCAAGAAAGGTGTTCCTTTCATCTGGACAGACACAACCGAGACAACTTTTGAAGTTCTCAAACAATAGTTGATCTTAGCACCTGTCCTAGCACTGCCCGATTTCCAACAATGTTTCATCATTGAGATGGACGCAAGCGATCGTGGTATCGGAGCCATCCTGCGACAACAAGGGCACCCGATAGCCTTCATGAGCAAAGCATTCAGTCCGCGCTACCAGGGCTTGTCCACGTACGAGAAGGAATATTTGGCAATTGTTGTCGCAGTGGACCAGTGGCGTCCCTACCTGCAACATGCGGAATTTGACATCCACACGGATCAGAAAAGTTTAACTCATTTGGAAGAGCAACGATTGACCACTCCATGGCAGCAGAAGGCCTTCACCAAGCTCTTGGGACTGAGATACCGCATTCGTTTCAAGAAAGGAGCTAAAAACACATGCGCTGATGCACTGTCCAGATCCAACACCCGGGATACTCTCTTAGCAGTATCCTCTTGCCATCCAGCTTGGCTCGAGGATGTGGTCAACAGTTATAACAGCAACAACCATGCTTCGCGGCTACTGGAACAACTGTCAATACGCGACGACCCCAAAGGTCATTTCTCTCTTCAGCAAGGGGTTATCCGATTCCGAGGCAGAATTTGGCTGGGAGGGAGTACGCAAATCCAACAGAAGATTATATCAGCTTTCCACGACAGCCCCCTGGGAGGGCACTCAGGGTTCCCTGTAACCTACCGTCGCATCAGGCGGCTGTTCACGTGGCCCATTAAAGCGCAAGTGCTCCAGTATGTCCGTTGCTGTCAGATTTGCCAACAGGCCAAGCCGGATCGCGCAGCATCTCCAGGTTTGCTGCTCCCTCTTCCTATTCCAGCACAAACCTGGGACCTCATCTCCATGGACTTCGTGGATGGATTACCACAGTCCAGCAGGTTCAATTGCTTACTGGTGATAGTAGACAAGCGCACAAAATTTGCCTATTTCCTGCCCTTGGCTCACCCGTACACAACATCGTCGGTGGCCAAGCTTTACAAGAGCCAGATTTACAAGAATCATGGGTTGCCTGGAGCAATCGTCTCTGACAGAGATCCGGTGTTCACAAGTCAATTCTGGCAAGAGTTGTTTCGTACAACGGGCACTCAACTCCGGCTCAGCACGGCCAACCATCCGCAGACGGACGGACAAACCGAGCGCGTCAATCAGTGCGTCTAGACTTTTCTTCGCCGTTTCACTCAAGCTTGCCCCAGGCAGTGGAGTTTTTGGACACCTCTGGCTCAGTTCTGATACAACAATGCTCATCACTCAGCCATTGGCATGACTCCTTTCAAAGCCATGTTTGGGTATGAACCTCGCCACTGGGGAATTTCAGCCAACAGCACATGTTATATTCCTGCGCTCCAATCGTGGCTGGACGAGAAGGAAACAGTGCAAGCCTTGCTACAGCAGCACCTGAACAGAGCACAACAGATCAAGATGGGAATGGGCCGGGTCAGCCCGTCGAGTCACTGACCCGGCCCAAAAAGTCAAGGCCAATGGGTCAAGTGGGTTGGCCTCAAATGATATACGGGTCAGTGGAGCCGGCACCGTGTAACCCATTGGGTCAGACGGGTCGACCCATTCTAATACGGGCAGTAGATACTACAGTATAAGTTACTTGTATCTACCGACGAGCTACCGTGGCCCGTCATGCCTAAATCATTTTTTTACATATGCAAAGTCCAATACATGAGTAGCCAGCTGAATGCATTGAGAGATTATTTCTCTAGTTAGCTTGCCTGAATGCATTAGAGATTTATCGTTCGCTGAATGCCCAGCCTACTGCATCCCACTTCACGGGAAGACAAGACAGGACGTACGCACCTCACATCCAGCACAATATATCTATTCAAAATAACTTAGTATTGACTAATGCTTGGTAGTGTTGAAGCAGGATGGTTCAGAAATTTAGACTGACCCGCCATGCTATTTCTTTGTAAACAGAGATATAAGTGTGAATTCGCTGGATTTTGGGTCGGCCTCATGTGCCCAGCGGGTCAATGAGGCCACCAATTTCTGATGAAATGGGCTGATCCATGGCCTTACATATTGGCCTTGGGGCCACAGGGCCGGGTCCAAGGCCAGGTCCGGGTCGGCCCATTCCCATCTTGAACAACAGATCATGAAGCAACAAGCTGACAAGAAACGGTCTTTCCGAACTTTCACAGTGGGTGAGAGTGTTTTTCTCAGGCTGCAACCATACATCCAATCCTCAGTCGCCCCGAGAGCAAACCACAAGCTGAGCTACAAGTACTACGGACCTTTCACTATCATCGACAAAATTAACGATGTGGCGTATAAACTTCAACTGCCACCACAAGCCACCGTCCACCCGGTGTTTCACATGTCGCTCCGCCGTGCCACCCTTCCAGGTATTGTTGTCGAAACTCAGCTACCACACTGCACTAACGACCTTGCTGTGCCAGTGGAGATCCTGCAAACTCGCTGGCGCCGGAAGAACAATTCCATGCGCGAACAAGTGAAGGTCCGGTGGTCCAACTCCGCCTCCCTCGGCACCACTTGGGACGACAAAGACAGCATCAAGGCGAGGTTCCCGCATTCTGAGGCTTGGGGACAAGCCTCGTCTCAAGAAGAGGGGGATGTTAGCGACCCCGACGCGCAGGACCCACTGGGCAGCCACTCCAACAGCAACAATGCTGCCCAGCGCCCCAGCAGGCTCAAGCGGCCCAACACGCGAGTCCACGGGCCAGAGTGGACTCACTGAAGCCCAGGCGATCGCTACTTGAAGGAAGACGCGATGCAGCCCCAGTCATCCAGAGGATCACGGCATCGGCACCCGGCGGCTACCTACCAAAATTCCCCTTCCTCCTGCGCGAGTGAACCCTAGTTCGTCTCCACCATTCTTGTAATCGCCACTCCACCTTGTAATCGACAGAGCTATGCTACTTGATCTATAGAGATACTAGTAAGCCCCTATCAAGCAGTTAGCCGCAGGAAAAATGGTTGCTGCAGCCTGCAGCAGCCATTCCCGGTGATGTTCCGACCGCTGAAGCTGAGTAGCTGACAAAAGCATGATGCTGCTGTACATATGTGACCGAAGAAGACTTACCATTTGGCGGCGCCGCTAGCATAATTACTAAGCCAATTTGATCCTCCTTTTTATGATGATCCGCTTGTCTCTTGTCAGGCTCCTAACCAATCACACTAGTAGCGACGGGGAAAATGAAGCCGCCCGATCTGGCTTCCCCGTTCGTTCCCAACAACCCTGCCTCCGTTGCCGGCCACCAGCGGCGATGGCGCTGACTGCATGGAAGCGAGACGTGGCTGGGTACTTGGCGCCCGCGTTCGCGGCGGCGGAAGGCAACGAGGTCGTGGCCGTGGGGAAGTGGATTTTTAGAGCTCTGCCTCGTGGATACCTCCTATCCTTACCATCCAATATAGCTTTGAGGTCTCTGCTAGACAATTAACTTACTATGTGATTTTGATATAAAAAAAACTTACTATATGATTTTTTTTGGGCAGTGATGGGCGCCGGTCGACCGACCCAAATTTGGGCCGGTCAACGCACAGCCACCCGATCAATAACTGTTGGATTTGGCCTCTCTGCGTCCTCTTCTTCCTTCCACTCCTCGACAGAAGAACAAGGGGATGCACGGGCACACCACCACCACCCCTCCCCGTTGCCATTGTAGCCGTGCCCGACGAGCTCCGGCGAGGTCCCGCTCTATGGCCGCCGCGATTGCATAACGTCCCCATTGATTCCAGGCGCGATTCATCAAGGTTGAAGCTCTAAAAACAGCCAGATCCAGCTCGCAGGTGTCATGATTGCAGCATCCCCAGCGTAGCCTCGCCTCCGGCTCGCCGTGGTCGTCGGCTTGGACCATCATGTCCAGCAAAAAAAGATCCAAAAAATAACAAAATCCTTGGTTGTCTGTTGAAGCAAAATCATTATAAGGTTCCAGCAAAAAAAGTGATCAGTTCCAACAAAATTAACCTCAACAGGGAGAACTTCAGTAGTTGATTGTAGCAAAAATAATTGCTAGTTCCAACAAAAAGAAGCGTTGATTCCAGCAAAATAACTCTGCAGGGAGACTTGAATTGGTTCTGCCGTAGCAAAAAAGAAAGAGAATGTAGCAAAAAGAAAAGCTAGTTCCAGCAAATTTCGCGCATCGGTGGTGAGGGCGCATCTGGTTCGAGCAAATCACTGGCCGATGGTAGCAAAAACTCATGCCTGTTCCAGCAAATTGATGGCCGGTTGCAGCAAAAAAAATCGCCCGCAGCCCGCCACCCATCTCCCACGGCGCGAAGACCTTTCGCCGGTTGAAGCAGCGGGATGACCTTGGCAGCTTGCCCGGCGCGGTCCAGCAAAAACCACGGCCACCTCTGCAGCATTCAGCGGTTGCTTTTCAGCTCGCGCACCACCCGTTGCAGCCCATAGCATTCGTGGTTGAAGAACTGCGCAAGGAGGGAAAGGTGCGAGCTAAGATGCCGTCCATGGCGGACAAGAAAGAAAAGGAAGAGTGTGAAAGGATAAGGCCAGGCGACAGAGCGGGGTGCACCGATTGAGAAGGAAAAGGAGAGACGAAATCGGTGGCTAGGACCCACCAGCCTAACACGTCACGCGCGAAGCCGTTTCACACAGATAGTGGGCGAGACAGGAACGTTTGATTGCCCTCAATCCAACGTCTCAGGCGCGACCGGCCGAAGACTTGGCCGGTCCGCTGGCAGTAAATGTTTCCCTTTTTTTTCTCCTTTTTGTTTCTTTCAAATAAAACAACATATGAACTTCAAACTTGACAAGATAACAAAACATTCTAACTACAATACGGGAAAAAGAGTAGTTTTTCTACACCCCAGCTCGGTGCATCCAAGGTGCACCCACGCAAGAAAATATAGCAAAACATTTTTAAAAAATCTAAAACTTTGTGGGAATGATCAGTGGC